ACACAGACACACACCCACCGAGCGCCACCGAGCACCCGCCGCCCCCGCCGGCAGCCGCCGCGCCTCGGGCAGCGGGATCCAGACCCAAGTCCAGAGCTGGCTCGGCGCGCAGAGCACCGCTTGATTTTTTTCCCTCCTCACTCCAGCCCTCTCTGATCTGGGCGGCGGTGGCGGCGGCAGGGGGATGGGGGCTCCACGCGGAGAAAAGGGGTGACGATCGAGGAAGATTATTGTTCTGTTTAAAGGATGCCTTCGCTTCCTCCCAATGAGTCTTCTGTGAGCCTTCTTACTAGAGACTGTGAACCGGAGTGAGGGATGTAAAGAGAGAAGGAGAGCCGCCAGGAGCTTCAGCCAGCGGGGGAGACCCTCCTCTCGTTGGAGGGGAGGGGGATTTCCAGCGACACATCACTGACGAAAAGACCTTTGCAGGAGAGGAGCCCTCCGAGGGAGCGGGGACTCCCACCTCCCTTTGTGGCACAGGAGCCAGAACTGCTGGCCGAGTGGAGCGAGGGTCTGTGGGAGCTAGGTAAGTGGCCCAGGCATTGCTGCTCCCCAAGAGCTCTGCTTTAGAGATGCTTCGCCTTGACAGCCTAGCCAGACTTGAGTTGCTAAAGGAACTGGAAACTGCCATATGGCTTCTAGTGGGCTTACATACAAAACTGACTGGATTGTTAGCCCTGACTGGTTATTAACGCAAGGCTTCTTCGTGGTGGGGAAGACAGGCAAGTGTGAGCCCCTGACAAGCCTGTATTGACCAAAAGGGTGAGAACTGTTATATGTAGGAGAGGCTCCCCTGTTGCCTTCTGTTCCTGTCCCTTGGTTGGTAAATGCACACTCGCGCACATACACGCACTTGTCGGGCTAGACTTGGGGAGTGTGATTATCTCCGTTGTGTGCACCATCCTCAGAACACAGAGACATGCTTGTCTATTATTCCTCAATAGTGAGCAGTCTTGGTTCCCAGAAGCTAACTAGAACAGGTCTCTAAGGAAAGCGCTCCAAGGCTGTTTCCAAGATGCTCAGTCAAGGGGACTTGGGAATGCATTTGACCTGAGTGACACCTACCATTTGCCTCATCATCCGCTCCTGACCCTAGTCAAGATAGTATCCTGCCGTCCATTTTTTCTGACAGGAGCGTTTATTTGTATCCATTCATAAAAAGTGCCAATGTGCAATGTGCATAAGCATGCCATTTATACCACATTTATGACTGCACAAGTGTTTTAGCAGTAAAGAGGAACACGGATAAGACTAAATACTGGGAGGTTCTAATATGCACCAGCGGGCATTGGGATAATTGCATGCAGGTTCAACACTCCTTCTAATCAAGTCATAATTTAAACAGCACTTCACATTTTTTTTTTTAGCTTTTCATATTGATTGGTTTGGGGGTTTGTTGACAATCTGATATTTTTCGAGCCCATCCCAAAAGAGAAGTAAATATTTTTGCTGTTACTGTTTTTTAAATGCCTAGCATTGTGTTGGACAGACAGCTCGTGGTTATTTATCAGCGATAGCACATTGCGTAGACTCAGCAAATAATAGACTGTGGTCCAGTGTCTGAAGTCCTACCTGCCAGTACAGAATGACTCACAGGAAAGAATCTGAAAAAAAAAGTAACATGTTAAAATTGGTCCTGTCATAAAGTTGGGTCTCTTTCACTCTAGATACGAGAGCAGAGTGCATCAATAAATATAAAATTGTCCCCACTCATCTTTTAATATCGATATTTAGACGACAGAGTTCTTTGTTATTAACATAACCAGAACTTAAGCAGTTCAGTAGTTTGGCCCATTATGCGTGGAACTGTGTATTTTTTAGTTTTGCTGCTTTGGGTGTTGTTTTTAGTGTATGGCTTATTGGGTAGTTTCAAAGACTCTCCGAAAATACTGAAGGTCCAGAATGCGAATAAGTGTCAGTGGGCCAGGCCACTTCAGAGCATGTATGCTGACCCACCAAGTCAAGCCCGTGGTCTGCTCCTTCATGGACTGCCAGCCTGTTCAGAGCTGTTGTTGATCACAAGCAGGATTCTGTCTTACATACTCTTCTTTCTCTGGCACTTCTCAGACTTTGGAGAAAGGAACGAAGCACTTGGCAGTTCTCCTTGCTTGCTTTCTCCTTCAGCCTTCACCTTCTCTTCGAAGCCTGGTGTCTGTCCCCAAATCTCCCTCTTACACCAACCCCTACACACAGGTTACAGAAAACGACTCTACTGCCTGCCACTTGGCGTTTTCCTCTTCATCCTGGGTTCCCAACCTCTTGTTTCCCCCTTTCCTGAAGAGAACCAATCTGTGCACCACTTGAAAGTGTTTCCAAATCCGCTTTCACCCCAACCCACAGTTAGTTCTCCAAGCATGTTTGTTTACTGGCCATGCAGAGTGGCTGGGAGAAATGATCACCTTATCAATGCTTTTGATTTGGCGTTTAAAGCATCCTTGCTGATGCCATGAAGGAATGGGAGCTTAGCCTGCCCTTCTAAGATGTTCAAGAATGAGATTGCTAGACAAAATGAAATTGCAAGATGTGGGTTCAATCACATTTCTTGGCAGCTTAAAGGCATATCTGATCAGATTTTTGTTAGGCTTGTCTGAATGCTTAAAAATGTCTAAGTCTGTGGAGCACTGAAAAGTAGTTTGTTTCTTGAGGAAAAAAAATGTGTGGCTTTTTGAACTGCTGTTGTAGAGAGATCACTGCACAATCTACATCTTATAGAAATAGATCGCATTACTGGCAACCTAGGAAGCAAGCGAAAATATATTTCATTTCATCCCAGCGCATGCTTTTTCTTTGATTAATTCCTTGCAATTTACTATCTCTTATAGACTAGTTACTAGGGAAATTTCTTACATTGACAGGAAATTTTCCCATGTGTATTCTAAAATAGACAGATAAGGTTAAGATATTCTGTTTATTTCAGAATACTCTTTAGGGTTTTCTTAGATTCACGTAGTCATCAAGTGGGATTAGCATAAAAGCATGATACCTGCTAATTTCATAAGGCCTTCCAAGGCAGGTAAAGCATGGATGGATTGCATGTGAGATCTTTGAAGTTCAAGAATATTTTTAAGGTAAGAATTTATGGTCATGTCATTCCTAGGGTGATAAAATAAACTTTATAGAGTAGAGCAATTGGAGACTTTTAAAAGTCATGTACCACAAGTTCTTAAAAGTCTAGATTTGTAGTCCATTATTATTTATTGCTTATTTTCTCCCTTCCATCATATATCAAAGTGTAGTTTAATTCATTATCAAAGTGTAGTTTCTAAGGAAGAAAGTCAAATTTGTCAGAAAAGGGTTTCCTTGACTCGTGTGAGGCAAGCCCTGCAGTAGCCTCTTTAAAATGCCTTTCTCACAGGCTGACTTGAACCTGCTTTTACTCTGCAATTTAATATTATAAAGAGGTTGGCTAACTTGTTCATTAATTGGTATAATACTTATTATGCATCAGACGAATGCTGGACCAGAATGGAACACATGCCAGAGGCTCGGAAGACAGTGCCCGTCCTGGGTTTTAAAGCATAAGGGGACAAAACCAAAGCAAAGCTTCTGCAGTCTGAGTTGAGGAATCTCAGTTTCAGATCAAAATGGCAGATTTCCTGCATGCACAAATACATTTCACAATTTTGTACTTAATAAGCTAATCAAAGCAAACTCATGAATGAGATCATGAAAATTTGTCACAGGCTATGAATTTAGGACTTCTCGGAAAACCCTCCCATTAACAGCACTAAAAGTTTGCTAAATGTTTAATTTTAGACTTGGAGTGCATGAGAATAGTTCAGAATGCTCATTTTGTCTTCTTTAAACAAATAAAATAACTGCAATAACCCACACTTAATTGAGCCAGGTGCTGTCTTAAGCATAATGCAAAACTTCTTTATTCTTACCCTCACCTTATTAGGAAACCATAAGTAGTGCCCTTCACACACAGACATGAAATCTAATATTCATAGGTGTTCCTTAACCAGAGCCACACAGGAAGGAAAGGGAGGAGTCACTTTAAACTCAGTATTTTGGGTTCAGGAACACTGTGACCCACTTTGATATTAGGGACTGTAGAGAAAGATGACCCTCGACAGAATTAGGAAGGATATTTTCACTTTTAGATTCTCTGCATTCTCTCTACAGAGGGCATGGTGCTATGGATAAAGGGAAGCTTGGGAAAGACCAAATGGAGGGGTATTTTGTTTTGTTTTAATTTAACAACAACCTATCCGACCCCTCCACCTGCTCCCCTACCCCGCCCCCCATAAATGTTTACCGTGAATCTGAAAGGAGAAAGTAGTTCAGTTTTAGGCTGACTTTCAAGCTGTGACAACAGGGGTGGGATGACAAATGTCAGGGTTGGGGTGGGCAGGAGAGTTGGAGGAGGACGAAAGCTAACATCCTAGACCACACTGTGCTTAGAGTGCCCCTTGAATTGGGATTGGGCAGTGGCTCTATTCCCAGAACGCACAGAAGACGCAGCGTGGTGGCTCAGGCCTGCAATCCTAAAGCCCATGAGGCCAGGATGGAGAATTTCTGTCCACGCAACCCAACTCACTTAGCCTGTCTCAAAGGAAAGGAATAGCCTTCCCAAGGAACAGCGCCAAAGCTGTCTTCTGGCCTCTGCGTGTGTACTTGCACACACATGATATGCAACAGTAAAAACATGCAGAAACCTGTCTAACACAGGTGACCTGACTAGGGAGCTGCGCCTGGGAGTCAAATTTTGCGTCTAAGTTCTGTGAATTATTTTCAATAAAACATAGCATTAGAGCATTAGCATTATAGTGTTTTTAAAATTCCATTTATCGTTTAAAAGAAAATTATTTGAAAATCTAGTCGTCATTTATCAGTGCCCCCAGCTTTTATACTTTGCAAAATATAAACCCAATATTTAATGGAAATTGAAGCTTAGTCTCCTAATAGAGTCTTTCTAGTATATTCTTAGAACGCTTCTGTTTTATTGCATAGCTAATAACTGTAATTGTGGAAGCACAAGCAAAAAAGCCTTACTTTGAAATATTTGTCAAGAGCACTTAAATAATATTTGAAGCAAAGTTCTTTCTAAGTAGCCACTGCTTCTGTTTATGTAGAAAATACCATCTGGCTCAACTTTGAAAGATAAAGTGATTAAATATTGTTTGCAAGATGTCATTGAATCAAATATTTGGATTCATCTTCATGATTGATTGACTCTTTTATTTTTCACACAGATGTGTCTCATAGGCTGGGTACATAGTACATGCAGTTGTCTCTCAAACTACAATTGACTTGCAGTATAAAAGTTCACTTAAAAACTTATATTTCCTCATTAAAAAAACAGTCTTAAGTCATGTTCAGGTCATCAGATAAAATTAACAAAGTCTTTTAAATCAATAAAATACTTGAAGAACAGTACCATTAGTAGTAAAATCCATGACCATTATCTCTAGTAGTGCTCCCAGGGAAGGGCTGGTTTAAATAATGTGTATTGATCTCTCCTTATGCGATATCCTGGGGCTGCAGAGGTGGGTGCAGTACTGTGCAGGCCCACAAGGAGGA